GCCTGCAGATCCCACCCTGTGGGGCACTGACCTTACTGAAGTGGCTTCAGGGACAGTGATGAGCTCTGGATTAGGGTCCTTGGAAAGCTGCCAGCACAGCAGGACAACTGCCCTCCCAAGGGCAGCCACAGCTTCACACAGAGGACTCGCTCCACCCTGCTCTGCTGGGACACCTGCAGTGCCTGGGCTGGGGTGAATAAAGCCTTCTTCAGCTCCAGCTTGTTTTACCCCATTCCCCTACATTCCAGCAACCTGAATATTTGAATCCAAAGCTGCTCCTTCTCTCAGTTTGCTTGGTTAAGAAGCTGCCCATCCACTGGGAAAGTTTGGTGGCCGTTATCACAGAATCACAGACTGCTTTGGCTTGGGAAGGATCTTAAAGTCTAGTTCCAATGCCATTGCATGGGCAGGGACACCTCCCACCAGCCCAGGCTGCTCCAAGCTCCATCCAACCTGGCCCTGAACACTTCCAGGGATGGGGCAGCCACAGCTTCCCTGGGTCACTTGAGCCAATGTCTCACCACCCTTACAGTAAGGAATTTCTTCCTTTTATCTCATCTAAATCCCTCCTCTTCCAGTTTAAAGCCATTACCCCTCAGCCTGTCACTCCCTGCCCATGTCAAAAGTTCCCCCTTGCTTTCCTGTAGCCTCTTCCGACACTGGAAGGTCCTTCAAGGTCTCCACAGAGTCTTCTCTTCTCCAGGCTGGAGAACACAAACACTGTCAGCCTGTCTCCATAGATGAAGGCTGTCTTCATCATTCAAAGAATTTGGCAGAAGGGACAAGTACAGAAAAGGAAATGTGCAAATGGAAACCAGGAAAAACAGCCAGAAAAGTAAGGTTCAAATTGGTGCTTGGGTAGAGGGAAAAGCTGTTAAAATTCAGACACTTTCCCCATGAGGCAGCAGCCAAGGGGACACTCTGGGCATGCTACCAACTCAGCTCAAAACACGGATGTGCAGTCACATCTCACTGATGAGGATCCTGTGCTTTTCATTCTGCCTCTTCCACAAGCCCCCAAAATTTCCTGCTTCCCAGATCACAGGCCACATCCCAGCAATCCCTGATGCACAACCTGGCACAGAACAGCATTTCTGGCAGGAGTTGCATGTATGGAGAGCAGCAAATCTGTGCCTTCAGCTTGTTTCTGTTTAAAGAAAATCGTTTCTCATTGTTACTGGACCAGTAGCAAAAACTCCTACTTGAGAAAGCAAGTTCTATTTATTGCCTTTGGCTTTACATGCATCTTGCCTTTCACAACTTGTTTAGAATTTTTGTTTAAATTTGTCTCTCTTCTGTAACTATAATTTACCACTAAAAGACAGTAGTTTTATATTTACTGCTGCAATATACTGCATTAAATAAGGGATTAAATAAGCCTTCATTACAGCTACACAGGTCCAGTGCTTTCTTCCTGAGCTACCTCAGAAACTCATTATGCATAAGACAGACCAGATTTAAAAAAATATTGGAATTTTGGATAAACAAAACATTCTCTCTGAAAGCCACAGGCACCAAGTATTTGTTACTAAACAGAAAGCATTGTTTCAGGCTGGATATAAAGGAAGCCCTGTATTAAATGATTGTTTCTACCCTGTAGCAAGGCTGGCCCATCTGCTCTAACAACAGAAGGATGAACATCAGTAACAGGAACTGCTGCTCTTGGGCTACAGCAGATCCACAGCCCATAGAAATCAAACAGTAGCTTCAGGCATATACTTAGGGTCTGGGCTGTTTTGCTGGAGAATTGACTTTAGGGACACAGAAAGGTCTCAGATCTCCTCTATGAAGAAGAAAGCAAAAATTACAATTTCATGGAGGAAGTCTGACATAAAGCCAGGAAAGTAGAGAAGTTACAGAAGGATCAGTCTCCCAAAATACATATGGGAAGTCACCATATGCATTACAAAATATGGCCTAATACATTGATGATCTGGGAGGTCCTGATAAGGAAATCTTTTCTCCCCATTAGCACTTTCCAAATAAGAGCATCAGGAGCTGCTTTCAGTTGTCAAAAACCACGACAAAAGCTAAGGAAAAGGCAATATATCCTCTAAACCAGGCATCTCCCCCCCAAAGACTGTTCACCTGGCACATCACATGCCCTTAAAACGGTGCAAAGGGAAAAGCTGAGCTCAGTAGCAATGCAGCTGGAGTCTGAAGGGTCTGTGGGTACCTCCTTAGAGCCAACAGACACAAACAGCTCTAGTGATGATGTGGGAAAAAGAAATAGTAAGTCTCAGATTGAAAGCAGTAAGGATTCTTTAAGAGTTGGCTGCAAGGGCCCAGGATACATGTTCCCCAGCACACCAGCCCATCCCAGCACATCACACATCGCAAGGCACCTGTGAAGCTGGGGAGGTGACACCTGTGGATCTGAGGCATGGTGCTATGGACCAGGACAAACATCTCTGTGACACCCTCTGCTTCACCACCTCAGTGCTACGCAGCGGCACCTCCTCACAGAGACACTTGCACAAGGTGCTCCAGAGCTGGGAGCACCCACATTTCTCCAAATGTTAAGAACCTAATTTTCACTTTGGAAAATGCTACTTCCCAGCACATAAAAGAACACCCCTTCATCACCCTAAAAACCCCCAACCAGGAGAAAAACATTGCACCCACACCCTTCAGAAGGATGTGGGAGAATTTCCTACCCTGGGGATTGCCCCTTCCTGCCCACAGAGCAGCTGACACCCCTTTCCAGCCTGCTTTCCTGCTCGGAAGAGGATGTCCCACGGGAGAGCCAGCTCATCCTAGCGCCCAGCTTCCCACGGATCACCCTGCAGGTAGCCTCGTTGGGAAACACCAAGCCCCTGTAATGCTCACAGCCCCAGGATCAGATGCACAAGCATTTATAACTCCATGGAGTGGGAAGGAGAAGCTTTACATGACTTGCTCACGGCCTGACTCAGTGGCAGGGCCAGGATTAAGTTGGAGGAGTTCCCCACTCCCAGGTCCAGCAAAAGAATGGTGAAACACAGCTTTCCCTGCTGCCATGATTCACCTGATCTTGTCAGATTTATTAGCTACAACAGATCAGTAACACATCAAAGAAAAGCTTTCTCTAAAGTTTAAGCAATCAGTTCCCACCTCAAATGTTTCACCAAAAACATGGCCAGTTTGATGGTTTCAGCCTGAGGCAGACTGTTTAAATTTCATACCCTGAATTATTTTGGGGCTACAAGTTATGAAATAGCAAAGCATAGAAAACCAGACCCTCTCTTTCTTCATGGGACAAATTCCTCAGCATCAGCAGACAGAAGAGCTCTTTGTAGCTGTCCATGCAAGTCACAGAAATGCCCTCCAAGGCTCAGACCCAGCACATCCACACCACTGTCCACCCCTGACAGGGCAAGGATTCTTAGTTTTGTCAGCGTGAGGGGGATTTGCTTCGCTTTTCTATTTCAGAATTGACTGAACAGCAATTGATGCAGCAATCTGGATCTATGTGCTGACAGGTAGCTATCTACAGAAAGAATTTAGGCTAATCAAGTGTAACTACCCACTTTTCTTCCACACTTACTTGCAACACCTCCCACAAGTTCTGATTAAATGCCACAAGCACATGAATGGAATAATTGGTTCTCACTTCTACTAATTAGCTTTAGTCCCAGTACACATTTGAATTAGATTCCCTGGGTCTTGCTCAGCTGTCATTTGACTTTATTCTTGATGCTGGTGTGTAAAAATGGTGGTGCATTCCCTGCCATCCACACACACACCACCACTAACACCTCTGGGGTGACACACCAGCAGCTTTCCAACACTGCCCTGATGGTGGGATCACATCTTAGCGTTGGCTTCAAGATGGGATTTCCTGTGGAGGCAAATAACACTCCCCTTAACATCTGAGCTGCAAAAGCTAGGCTAGACTAACTGGCAGCACACAAATCAACTGGCTCAAGGGTCCTGTGGGCAGTGCCACTTGATCACACCAGAATTGGGATTTTTTACTAGAAAGGAACTTGTGGCTGATGTGGAGCATGAGAGGAGACTCAGTGCTGAGGTGGCAGGGCTCTTGCAGAAGGCTCTATCAGCAGGGTTGTAAAAACACACAAGAATCAGCACTTTTCACCCCCAGTCTATCCTCCTGAAACACATCAGAAGACTGACCTTCTTGAGAAAGCTGCAGGACCCCAAGAACATCTACAGTGACTCTCAGGAACCAGCAGAACATCAGCCTGACCTTCAGAGATCAGTGCTGGGGCCAAATCCTGCTGCTCTGCGAGGCTCTGGGACCACCCAGAGCTGGGCTCACCTTGGTGGTGGGAATACACACAGGGAAACCTCTCCTCTGCCCTCAGAGAACAAGTACCTCACCCCTCAAAAACTGCACCATAGGACATAAAAAGAGTGTTGCTGGAGTACAACTGCATCCCAGTGCCCTGTGACTGCAGTCTGGCTCTTGGGGTGCCTTATTCCTAGAGCAGGTGGAATGAGAGAGTAATTTTAATTTATAACCCCCATTTTTTTCTGTTTTGTAACAAACACAGCCCAACCAGTACAAGCAGTCTACCCCCAGGATGTTCAGAGGTCTCTTGCCCAACAGGCTCAAATACTTGACTCCACCTTCTGTATAAGAAACAAGCAGTTCAGGCAGTCCTAAAAAAGAAGTGTTTACAGCACTTGGAAAATTAATAGGGTTCCCATTCCAAGGGGGATTCAAAAAATGTAAAAAAAAAATTAAAATACTCCACATTCCCACTGCAGGTTTTACAACTTCCCACCATGTTCCCAATATTCTCCAGTGACTAAGTATAACAAAGAAATTCTTGCCTAGGCACTTCCAGTAAGAATCTGGCCAGACATTTTATAAAGAGACTGACATGCATCTTAATTTCATTTTACGAGAAGACGAGAAGCTCCACAATGACCATGTGTATTTTCATCTTCACTGATACCCACTGTCTGCAGGAAATTACACCCTGTCCCCACCTGTTGCAAGCTTGTCCCTTTTCTATCCTGTTATTAACCATTCTCTTTTTTGAACTTGCAGCATCTCCTACTCCAGCCACCAAAATGGAAGAAAATGCCAACACCAGCTTTGAGGAGGATTTTGAAGGACAGGCAACACACACAGGCAAGGAAACTGCATTTTTTTCCTAAAAATAAGCTAAAATATCCCTGTTCACCAGGGAAGCCAAGAAGTCAGGTAGATCTCATTGGGTTGGCAACCCCCTTGCACAGGAATGTAGTCTCCAAAGCCCATGAGATGCATTTTGAATTAAGTGACACCCCTCACACAAGGGCAGGTAACACCAACTGATCTTTGGGCCAGTCCTCCTCATACCTGCAGCAAATGGCCAATGCAGAAGCCATCAAGAGCAACGGCCCAATGCAGCTCTTATTAGTTTATTGCTTTAGTTGTGAACTTTCTTCTTCTGGGGAAAGGAGAATAAAACAAATAGCAACAAAACCCACATTCACAGGCTAGAATTAGGTTATAAGGTTTCACTATAAAGGCTGAATTATTTGTTCCTTCTTATAGAAGGAACATTCAGTGCTAAAACTGAGCCAATAAATCCTTTTGGCAAACCCAGCACAGCATTTAAAAACTTTAGAAGCATCCTTGCTTGGAAACACTATTCTTTTTAACCCAGCACTCAATCACCAACAGGTACCTATATGGCCATCAACCGCCCTGAGCTCCAAGGGCTTCTTCTTCTCTGTGCTGTAATAAATGTAGCTCCTGCAGTAACTCTTGCTGAGGTTCTTTCCCAACCAGCCTTGCTGCTGCTAGTTATTATTATATATATATATATATTTAGGGACCAAAGGTAGGGCGTTACCCCAAGGCTTTGAAATAGTTTTGGAAATCAGGCTACTGTACTGTTACAGCTATGCTGAGAGGTTCAGGCTAATTCCTGCTTTGGAATCATGTTTGCAAAAGATCAGGTCAACTTCCCTTCCGACTGAGGGCTGTAGTGCCTTTAGCCACCACTAAAGGTGCTGAAACTCAACCCAAAACAAAGTCTTGGCAACTGGCAACATCACATCTCCCTCCAGAGAGGGAAAGCTGCTTACCCTAGCCTCTTCTAAGTTTTCCACAGACATATATTTCACCTCTGAAAACACCAAATATTCCTTATTCTTTGGATTTGCTTTATAATCTAAGATGCAGGTTAAAATGTCTTCTTTTGCAAAACACCACTGGAATTCTGAAATTAATTTTTCCCATTTCAAAATGTAAATGCTTTAATCAACCAGCTCCAAAGACCAGGATCAGCATTACAAGCAAAATCATCATGGTATTTGCCTTACTGGTTCCTCTTCCAGTGGAGCAGGTACTTTAAAAAAGACAATAATAATCTCAAGTGTTCGTAGCTTTAGTCTTCACATGTTATGTATTCAAACACACTGTCTAGAGAGAAATGCAAACACACTTCTGCAAAACAGCAGCTTTGGCCAACATGACAGTTTTAACAGGCTTTTACATCCTCAGCCACGTTAACTACTTGTGTCATTTCCCAAAGCCATGTCATGGCATCCTGAGAGGAACCAGAGCAGCCAAGTGATCCAGGTTAGACGGAAATCTCTTTCTTTCCTTCTTTCTGTTATCACGCTGGTGCCAAAGCTCTGGTGATCCACACTCCTGCAGAGCACCCTGCCAGGAAGAGGGGTGGATGGATACACTGCACCACAGAAAGGCAAGCCAGCCAAAAGCAGACATTTCTTAAGAGCTTCTTGTTGAGCCAGTTTCTCACCCAACTTCAACTCTTTTAGGGCCCAAGGGTGTGATCCATGACTGGAGAAAGTTTAAACTAGAGAGCCAAGACAGAGAATCTTTACCCTTGAGCAAGAAAGAAATTCTGAAACAAATGTCTACACCACACAGATCTTTCAGTAAAGATGACAAAGACACCAGAGAGAGATTCTCCCGTAAGGTAAGAAAAGAAAAATAAACTTTTATTTCATATAAAGCATCCCAGCTATAAGATGGAAAACCCCGAGTTTGCCAGACTCAATTCCATTGTGACTCAGCAGAACAAATGCACGTCCAACTCTCTCCCCTGTCCTCCCTCAAGCAGACTCTAACTTGAATAAAATGAACAGCATCTTTCAGAAGGACATGGCACCCATTGCAGAGCTTGACTTTCCCCCCTTCCTTCCCTGCCTCAGTGCTCCATCCTTGGCTAAGGCAACGGAAAGTTGTTAATACTAGTTAGGACAGAGCTCTGAGCCTGAATGTCACTCGTTGCCATTTAGCATGTCTGAAAGGGGGGGTGGAAGGCAAAACCCAAAAACCCCTGTGAATGAAACCTGGATCCCACTACAGTTCCCTGGCAAAATTCCCACCAGCTCTGGAAGATACAGAAGCTTTTGCCAAACAAGGCAACTGGCTTCAATACCATCAAGTTGACATACAAGTGTTGAGGTGGGATCTTCATCCCTCTCTTAAAGAGAGCTCCCAGAGTCACTGCAGGAAGTGGCACAGGCTGCCCAGGGTAGTGGTGAAGTCACCATCCCTAGAGGGGTTTAAAAGCTGTGTAGACGTGGTGCTGAGGGCCACGGTTTGAGTGACCTTGGCAGTGCTGGGGTGATGGTTAGACTCGATGATCTTAAGGGCCTTTTCCAACCAAAAGGATTCTATGACTGCTCTTCTGGCTAAGCTTCCAATTCAACAATCTTTAGGCAACAACTTAGCATGTTCCTGTTTCAGCACCCAGAGATGACCCCTCATTAACGTAACGTCCTCTCGATGTTCACAGATGAGCGTGCAGGAGTACGAGTTGATCCAGGACGAGCCAGAAGATGAAAGCTGCCTACAGAAATACCGCAAGCGCTGCATGCAGGACATGCACCAGAGGCTGAGCTTTGGGCCCAAGTACGGCTACGTGAGGGAGCTGCAGAACGGGGAGCAGTTCCTGGAGGCCGTCGAGAAGGAACGGAAATCCACCACTGTCATCGTCCACATTTACGAAGATGGTGTCAAGGGCTGCGAGTCCCTCAACAACAGCCTGACCTGCCTGGCTGCCGAGTACCCCACTGTCAAGTTCTGCAAGATCAAGGCCTCTGACACGGGTGCTGGAGACCGCTTCTCCAGCGAAGTGCTTCCCACCCTCCTGGTCTACAAGGGCGGGGAGCTCCTCAGCAATTTCATCAGCATTTCAGAACAGTTCAACGAGGAGTTTTTTGCTGTGGATGTGGAGTCTTTCCTAAATGAGTATGGGCTGCTACCTGAGAGGGAGCTTCCAGCACTGGGAAACGGTGACACGGATGAGCAAGATGTTGAGTAATTAGAGAGCCATAGTCCTCACTGTCTCCCTTTCCCCCGCAGTATGTTGTAACTCAGGCTCAGTAACACCCATCTCATTTAGAGAAGGCTGCCTTTGCTAACTTGTTTGTAAGAGAGACACAGATAAAAATTGCTTAACTGTTAATATGTGAATTTTACTTAAAACACATACAACTGACAGTCCTGTACATAATTATTCCTATGCCGGCCACAAGTAATAGGAAGAGCAGGAAACAATACTAGTGATCTCTAAGAAATCAAGGAAAAATAGAATTAATTCCGTAATGGAGGGCTCATGTCTCTCCATGAAGCACAGGGACTTCATTTCTACAGGAAGGGGACTGATCCACTCTCTGCACCAACAAAAAGCCGACTCCGTGCTCCAGCATTACGGCAAGTCCTGGCTCCTCAGCTTCACTTCCACTGCCTTCAGTAGGAACAAGAGCTCACCCAGCAGTTTTAAGGACAAACTAAGCCCCAAGTCCTTGTGTTTCTACATGACTTAGGTATCTAGGACAGAATTTTATGCTTCCACATTTCACTTTCACCATTCATGAGAATACTGAAGTTAGCTCAGTGCTTCAGCACATTTGTTACCCCAACATCTAACACAACAAGCACATCATCAGCTAATTTCAGTTCACTGTTGCTGTTTTGAACATTAATATTGAAAATGTCTGCAAGCTACCGAAAAAGTATTTTGTGCTTATGTAATAACTGAATAAAGCTTACTTAACAGCTCTCAAGACCTGAAAGTCTGAGATGTATTGGTAGTGCATAACCTTAACATGAGAAATATTACTAAGAGCTCATTAGACATTGAATAAACTCAAATATTTCAGTTTTGCTAAGGGGATGCTGCTGTAAACTACAATTAAACAATCCATTTGACAGGAAGACATAGGGTAAACTAACTAAACCAACAGCTCCTCCAGTTCTGACACAAGACTACAAAACATGAGAAACATTCCCCTGACCTCTTTCGCACACTGGCAAAGCTGAAGACAGAGTTTTACTCTGAGGACAGAAATATCTGTGTCTTAACTGCACACAATTTTGCAGTTAACATTTGAGACTATCAACATTTTATTTGAGTAATAGTTTCATTTGATAATTCAGAGTGGGAGCTTTCAGTTTCCTTTGTGGTCAGGATCCCACCACCAAAATGTCACCCTGTAAAATTCTGCACATGGATCAGTAAGAATTCAGAACTGAGTGGCCAGGACCAAGGAACCACTGCTGCAGTGACATAACCCACTCATTCAAAGCAGGTTCTCGCTACTCTTAAAACACCCTTTTTCTCCACTTCTCATTCACATGGAAAATTCACAGGGATAGCTGGAAGTTACATGACTTTCCAACACCTCTGAACAACAAAATGATTCTACTCAAAAAGATTTGGGAAATACAACCCAGCAAAACATTACTGAAGGAGCCCTGAGATACCCTTTCAAAGAAAACAAATTAAACACTATTTATGCCTTGTTTTAAATGATGGTTAAAAACAGAAATCTGCCTTTCTGGTCTGTCCAGTTTTAGGGACTACCAAAATGCTACCAAATTTCTACTTTTAATACTGTTTTGCCACAGATTAAAAGTGCACTAGAAACCTCACCTTGTCTACACTGAGCAACACCAATTAAGTTCTTTCTCATCTATGAATAATTAACAACCTTCTTTAACCTGTAAAACAATTCAGGATTTTATTCCAACAATATTCAAACAGCATCTTCCCAAAATGCCATGATTTCCATGCTGTAAGGTTTCGAGTGCCAGACTGTCAGACCTTATTTCTGACAGAAATCTGGGTGGAACAGAGCTTCTCCCTACCAGCTAAAATCGCCTTCACTTCAACATTTCATTTGTGTCAGTAGGTGGACCCTTCAGAGAGCTTCCATTTGCAGATGTACCTGACATTATAAAAATCTCACTATCTTCTAACAGGTTATGTAAAAAATGAACTATCTTCTATCACAAAAAGAACCAGCTAACTGAGTAGAGGGACAATATTTGCCTTGCATTTTTTGATGAGATGTTTTACAGAGGAGAAAAATCTGTGTAACTGGTTAGAACTTGACATTTCTGAGAACTTTCCCTCTTTATCAAAGTTGGTTCCATTGTTATTAGGCTGCACATCAGCAGCCTGATCACGTAAGCTTCATTTCTTTAAGAAAACAGGCTGAAAGCAAAAATACCCTTCACAAACAATAACCAGCACAGAAACTTCATCTCCAGCTAGTTGTAAGAAAGAAGCTGACACTCCAATTTAAGAGACAGATTAAGCATGCTTAAGCAGGATTTCCTTCAACCTGCAATTTAAAAACAAACAAAGGAGAAGAAAACAAGCCTCAACAGAATCTCATGACTAATGAAGTTGCAAATAAAGCTCTGATCACAGCAGTCATCTGTTTTTCTGCAGGAAAAAGAACACCAAAACAACTTAAAACCAAAAAGCAAGACTTGACTGAAACATCACACTGCTGCACAAAGGCTCCTGAATAACAAAAAATGCTTTAATTAGGACACCAGAGCAGCCCTCCTGCTATCCGGGCTAGGGATACTCTTCCTTTTGACTCAGACACCCTCAGTGACCTCAAATATTCTGATGCAAACAAAAATGGAAAGGAGGGGGAACTAATTGTCAGTGGTGTTACTGGTGATTAGATCAGGAACAGAAGCTCTAGCTATCAACACACCAAACACTTCCCCCCAGATGTGAGCATTTTTTAAACTACACCTTAAAATTGCCTAGCAGAGAAAAGAAGGTTTCTGTAAAACTATTTCATAACATCAATTTGAAAACTACAATTACAGGAGCCAGACTTTCAGATGTGCAAGTCCCAACCCTTTCTCTAGACTCTTACATATTACAATAAAAATCTATTTGCAGTCATTGATACAAGTTCACAAAACTCAGTTTCAGTGACAATGGAGTTGTCACAACCTGAAAGCTTTAGAAGATTGCACAGGTAGCAGGAAAAGGTTATATCTCTATGAAACTGAGCAGAAGTTAAACAGCTGTGAAATCACAGGCTTGTAAAAAGGTCGCTTCCTTTTCTTCTTCCTGCCACACACCTTTTTGTTTTTCTGCAAGAACTCATCCTCTTACATGACCAATGGCTGACAGCAGAAAAAACGGGAAGCAAGATGACAACAAAATCCCCTTTTGGGTAGTTCCCAGACAAGCAAGGACCTGCCTTCCTCTACATCCAACTGTTTCCTCATGGCAGGATGACTGGAAGGCTCAATCTGCAGATACAAGTTAAATTACTAATTTTCTTATTGACACAGTTAAATTATTGCCTTCTGGCACAGAAGGTGGTTAAATGCAGCCTCCTGTATCAAAGCAGAAATCTCATCCAAATCAACTGCTTTCCCTTTTTCCAACCTCAAATTGGAAAAGCAGATTTCCACAGCACCCCAGTACCTAGTTAGTTACAAGCTGAAGGATTAATTTGATGGCCTGTAGTAACACCATAAAGTAAAGGATAATTCACACTGAATAAACTTGCGGGTGGTTTGGAGGGGGTGATCTGGAGGGGCGGTGGGCAGCATGCATGGAAGAAAACCAGAACTCTAGGCTGGGTCACCTCCAAACAAACTACTTTTTACACCACAGGTGCTAAACAAGAACTACTAGTGGAAGAGTGTTTGATGACAATTTTTTTCTCTGGTGTAAGATATTTAGCATCTCAAATGTTGTTCTTCACTTGTAAGGCTGAGTTCTGAGTAACAAAGCAACCACAGAGCAACCATTTTGAAACTCACCTTCAAAAGCACACTCCCTGTCCTCCCCCCCCAAAAAAGGAAGAAATAGAAAAAAATAGAGACCAACAGAACCAAAAGACAAGCTTTTTTCTTCCCATTACTCCCCTGCCCTCCTTCTAACAGAGACTTCAGCAGTGCAGTGTTTAAACCAACCACCTTTTGAAGCCCATGACAAAATGAAACCCATTTTCTGGATAGCACTTGACCTCCTGCGGCATCAACTGCTTCTGCATAATTTTGGCTGTTGATTCCACCCACTTGCAGGGAATAACATGCATCAATAAAACACACAGCAGGTGAAGGACTTACCTGAAAACAGTGCCTCCATCACAGCCTTCACCTTCCTCCGGGAGACTCTACTTGAGCAATACTAAGCACAAGAGATCAATGCTGGGTTCCAAAATACTTACAACACTAAAAGCAGTTTTTTTTTTTAAAACATGTAAAAACAGAATACACAGATGAGGCAACAGCATTTAAGACATCTTTCTCATAGTTTCCTTTTATTAAAAGCATTCCAGTACATCCTTGGTTGTGCTTTAGAACTGAAACATTAATATTTTTTCTTATTGTTCCAGTGGCTTTATACAAAAAAGAAATTTGCAGTGATACTAAAATGCCCTAAAATCTGGAATTCTTTTATATGGTAGTTCAGATCCAAGTAAACATCACATTTCATGTAGGAATCATCTTTATTAACCTTAGTTGTATTTCTTCCTCTTGCCACCCTCCAAGCAAGCATTAGTTAACCACTCACCATGCCCAGAAAAATCTCTCATTGCTGAAAACTATCTGTTTGTAGTCTAAAAATCCAGATTAGCAAACAATTTTGACAATTTGCCTGTGTCTACAAGTTAATCCACAAGGGCTGCCTAAATGAAGCTGCTGCTGAAATAGTTGTTATTCCCAGAAAATGACTGAATCAGAGCTGGACAGAGAACTCAAGAGTCACCGAGTATAAGTGGAATATATATGCATTTATCTCTCACAAGATCTACATATTTTATTGATCTCTGAGTTCTTCAGGTCTTGAACTGAAGTATTTACAGGCTGAATTGGTCTAGTCTTGAAACTACTAACAATTATTTGTATACCTATTAAGCTAGTTAACCAGTATTACCTAAATAAATGCATGTGGCTTCATTAAGTCTAATTTTCCCCCAATTAACTGTAAGATGTATCTTGGCATAGGAATCCTTAAAGCAAGAATTGTCATACCAGGTAACTATGCCAGTCTAACCAATAGCCTGAAGAACAGCAGCAGTAGCATTTTGCATTAAAACAGCAAGTAGGAAGAAAACCAAGGTTCTACATTTGTTTAAGGGATCTTTCTAGAAAAGAATGCTATCATTCATTTACGCAGAGCAACAGGGTTAGTTTTCTTGTAAACTTGGCTCACCTTCTACTTGACATTGTGACCAGATGATTCTACCTGACAGAGGAAGTGCATGCTGGAACAAGGTAACCAAACCAATCATCACCATCTGTATTGCACATTCAATCAGTGGCACTGAGGCAACAGTTCTTAATGACTAACATATAAAACCCTGATGTTTCCATCTTGTCACTACTCCACACTTCCATGAAGCTCCAGCTGCTTGAGCTTAATCACTGAAGTAATTGAAAGAGAAGATGGATGCAAAGACTGCAACAGCAGCTGCTATTACCACACCTGGAACAAGAAAGGAAACTGCTCAGTGAGTGACCAGGGCAGCACAGGCAGCAGCAACCAGGATGTGGAGGGCAGGGTCAAGGTGAATGACAAGCAGGAGAAACTAACAGCCACCCCAAAACCTATCTACCACTGCTAAGCCTAAATCTAAAGGCAGGATGTCAGATAAATAACGATAAAAGCTTCACATGATGTTTCTGATCAAAGGAAGAATCTTCAGAAAGCCAGCTGACTGCCTACTTCTGTAGTGCTCTGGCCACATTCTGGCCTGTAACACACTGACTCTGCACTACTGCTTAATTCTAGGAATCTCACCAGAAGAAAAATACAAAGGTGTTAAGCTTTAAGAAAGAAAAGCAATTAAGCTTTTTCTCTTCTGCATGGCACTACATCTAACTCTGTCAGTCTCTCTGCAGCACAACAGCAATTTTCCTATTGATTAACGTGCTTGTTTCTCAGAAGATGACACACAAAAAACCAAAGGCTTGACTGATGATTCAAGGGAAAACATTTTTATATCCAAAGCAAACACATATTTGCTGCTACTACTCTTTAATCTCCCAGTTACTATGTCCTACTTCTAAGAATTAATAGAAAACACAAGTTACTGTTTTGTTGACTGAAGTCTAACTGCATAGTAATAGGAAAAGCCAGTCAAAGCTCACAGCAAAGAGAGCAGAGAGATCCGTGACAGCTGGATGAATGAGCATTGTGAAGTTGTAGTTGAAAGACAAGCTTTGTGGCTGGGTGTTCCCGGCTTCCTGAGGCTGACAATTAGCACCCAAGCCCCTGTGTACTTGTCAGCTGGGGGAGATTAGTGAGTCACTGGTCAATTTATGGATGCCGACCTGTCAAAGCCATTCAGCTGTGTTATTGTTCTTTCAAGTAGGGAATTACAGAAGCTGCAGCTCTCCAAAAAGATAAATCAAGCTACATGATGAGTCCTTTTATTGACTTGTAGGTTGAAATACAAAGACTGGCTTTGTTCCAACCGAGGGCTGTGGTTCTTTATTCCCCAGAAACACCCTGCACTTACAGCACTGAGATGGGGACTTAGTTTAGAAGAGCTGTTGCACTAAATTAGCAGCACAAATTAAGACTTTTCTGCTCATCTCACAAGTTAATCATGCTGTGGAAACCAACAGATTGAAAGAGCCCATCATAGCTTCTGGGTTGCCATACCAAAAGCAGGGAAGCAACATACCCATGTTTTGTTGAAGCTTCAACAGCAATGTTGCTTTTGTCACTTGTTTCTGTTGTGTGTCATCCACGATGCCGGTAACTGGACAAATATCAACTGCATGGAAATCAAGCAAACAAGTAAATACCAGGTGAAAAAACATCAGTTGTGTTTTACAGATGAATTCATGCAAAAGGCCAAGAACGTCCTACCAACTTTATAAAGTTACTTTTATGGTAGAAAAAAACCCAGTTCATTGCCATAGAAATTATATAGTAGCAACAGCATAGTGCTAAACTGTTCTGTATGGCTAGAGGAGTAGAAATAAAGAGGAAAAGTACATTTAGGAGGGAGTTCCTAATTTTCCACACCCTGCTTCCAGAGTAACATACCCAATCTCCTACACATACCCTGGGGACAATGTGACTACTCTGAGAGGGAACCGCCAAAACGAACCATCAACCGCCTTCCAAGATCAAAGTTTTCACTTCAAAGCCATTTGTGCTGAGTTCAGGCCACATGCAAAACCCACTGCCACCAACAGAGTGATCCAAGTATCATGTCTCTAACCAAGAGCTAGAAATGCTTTTTTCCAAAGCACAGAAATCCCTTTTTGAAGATCTCTTAAAAAGACACTTTCAGGGCAGGTACAGAGGACACACACATTCCCGTCTGGAATAGCTGCTAAATCCTTGGGCTGCTCAGCCAGGATGTGACAGAGCTTATGGGATTCACACCCAGATATATCTATTTCCCTTGAAAAGTTTCCCCTAACCACATGGCTACATCCAGCTTGTTAGAGAAGGGGAGGAAAGAGATTAATCTTGAGCCTTCTGGCTGCACAGGTTCATTTATCCCCCACGGAGCAAGAATGCTTTGGACTAGGCAGTTCAGTGATGGAGGGCCAAGTCTGCATTCCTGGTCCCAGAAGAGTTTGCTAAGGTACCACTTGTCAGAAGTCCCTGATGACAATGCAGTAGCTACTATTGCAGGTATCTTCTGGACAAGTAAACAGAGAGAGAAAGTGTCCTGGATGTCTTTGGAAAGAACAGAATCCATGTGCTGTGAAAAAAAGACTGACAGATTGTTCATATTCCGAAGATGAAGAAAAACCCACAGCAGGACCAGATAGCAGGTTTTAGCAGTCTATAATGTCCTGTTTCCACAGAGGGGCTGCCAATCACCTATACAAGTCATATAGTGTATGATTCCTGGGAAAATTAGTCATGGAAAAGTACTTTCTCTATCATATAATTAGCTATAGGGGAAATGTATAATCTAGAGGTGGGATCAGAAAAGTTGCTTCTGCCATAAGATGAGTCATGTGCACGGGTGTCTTCGAACTCTTAAGTCAAACTTACACAAGACCTGTTGTTACACAAGAGCACCCCCACTAGATATTGAGGACCTGTCTTTAGCCTTTTTGATCCCTGAACCTGCTGACTTTGTACAGGATGCATTACAACAGAGCAATTCCTAAAGATCCAATATGAAACCTCACAGGATAGCAAGTCACAGATGTACATGCACATACACATGAAGTATAAAGTCCCTTAGAGATGTCCCTGCAAGCTGCACAGACAAAAATGAAAAATAAGGACACAACACTCCAGTGCAAGGGGTGCTTGTCTGAAGGGCAATTATCTGGTCCACAACGAGGCCCTGGTTTCATCTCCAGTTCTTCTGTGCAAAGGAAAACACACCCTCATTAGCCTGAACTAGGAGCAGAAATCTTCAACTAGAGTAAATGAACTATTGATGCAAGATGGCATTTTAAGTACCCAAGAGCCCTGTTCTCTCCAAACTACTTAACAGTTTTCAATGCCCTAAAATAACAAGTCACTTTTAGAGGAGCTGACCACATTTCTTGGGTTGCCTTTGAAGTCTAGATCCAGCAGGTCTGCTTTAGTCCTGATGAGTAAGTAGGAGAGCTTGTGCCCTCTAACTTTGTGTTTCTGTGCATCTTCCTAAGAACTGCCACACTTCTCTGAAGGCAGCTTTTGAAGCTGCACATCAAGGCAGCAATGCTCACTTGCTCAGGGAAAAAAGAAAACGAAACAAGAGGAAAGAAGCAAAAAAGAAAGCAACAGCCTTGAGCTATTTAGTTGCCATTAAGTTATGGAGACTTGTGTTTGAAGCAGCTGTAGCATAAATCACACAGTTTTCAAAAGCAGATGCTTTCCAATTTTATGAATCTTTAATTCTTCCATTTGCTAACAAAGACAGGGAAGTGACTACCACTACTGGAGTCTTATTTATGTTTATCCACTCAGGGTATTTAACACCCCAACCCCTGCACCAAGCAGGGATTTAGTAAAGCCCATCACAGAGGCAGCTTTCAGTTGCTTCTCATAAAGCCCTAATGCCTTGAGACTGCAGTGTTAGAGCTATTTATACCTTTCAATTATAAATAGCTCAGGTTTTACTTTCTATTCTCCATGTAACAATTTTAAAGCATGACCCAGAAGTGACCCCATTGCAGAGTTGTACAAGGAATCAAGATAATAGAACTGTAGGAGACAGCAGCAGAGACTGTACAAAGTAAGCACATAAAACTGACATTCTCAAAATACCTTCATAATGTTTTGACTAAAAGCTGCTTGAACATAAAACTTTGGCCTGTGCTGATTAGATCCTCTTCTTCTTCCAAAGTGTTTATTTTAAAGAGCAAGGGAAAAAATATTTGAAATGCTCATGTTTTTGAATTTTAAACAACTTTTTTTATCAGCACACTTTCCCCAGAGCTTCACTATGGACAGCATTTCCAGTTAATTCAAGGTCACTGCCTCAGCCCATAGGAATTTTGATACAAACAGGCTGATGCCAAAATTCACTACAAACTGATTTTCATACCATTACTGAATGATTACTATTACTAATAAAGACACTGCTAAGCCTTGAGAAACAACAAATACCACCCAAACTGGAATGATGCACTGACAAAGCCCTTCCCCAGGGGAAACCCCCAACTCTGTGTGCCACAAAAACATGTTTACAGCAATACTTTGATGCTTTGTACCAAGGGACCAATAAAAATCAAATTGCAAAATTAATGCTTTTTCTTACAACACAGAACACTTTTCTTATACAGCTAACAGGTCTGATTTTTAAAAGGGCCTTCCTGGCATTAAAAAAGCATATAAATACCTTGTGATTGTAATAAAACACAAGTTCGTGATGCTGTAACATTAGTAATTACCACAATGGACCAGTGTTGCCCCACTGGCATTATTGCCATCATCACCATTAACAGAACTCAAACTCCAGACAAGCTTTATGGTGCTCACTGGGACAAGACCAGTCTCTCGATTTTTTCTGAAATCCTCTTGGTATGTTTTTCCCCTCTCTTCTGCTATGCTCTTACTTTCATTTACACTGAAAAAATATCAACAAATATACCCCACACACCCAACTCTGTAACCAGCTCCAAGAAGATATCAGTTCATTTTGCAAGCTGCCTGGGCATCACTTCACACCTGTCACTGGCACCAGGCCCTGTGGGGTGTTGCTGTCCCTCCAGTCGTGCTTTCTGCCTCCCTCTGGATCACACATCCTTACATAAGCAATAAAGCTGAACTGAATCATCTTCCCTCTCTCTCCCACACCCATCTCCACTGCTACAACAGTCTCCCTTTGCCTCCCTGAGTTATATTAATTCCTTTAAGCTCAGTGATAATTAGCTTTAAGATTATTACAGTTTTATAATACAAGAGAGATTTTAATTTGATTTCCTGTTTTCTTGAGGTTTGTGAGCTACAAACATCTTGTACTTCTCCAAGTAATGAGACAGATTCACAACTAACACATTTAGCTAAAAGAAAACTGATTAACTTAGAAAGACATAAGAATTCATTATTAGTCCTGAAAAGAAGAAATTCAAAAAACCCTCCAAATAGCTCAAGTAGAGTATCAGGAACCACAGCTCTCCCTACACAGCAAGCTCATGCCTACATTTCCTATTTTTTTGTCCCTAAACACCAACATCAAAAAGTGCCCACAGCTCTTATCTAAGAAATAGTGTGTTAGATTATTTTTTTAATTAACCTGAAGCTCATATTCATGCTGATGGGGGGAGAAAAGAAATCTCTTCCATAAGATCACAAAAAGTATTACCAGATGGATTTCAACTACAGATTTGACTCCTACATTAAGTTAAAAGTCACAGGGGAAAAAAATGAACCAACAAACAATAGGAAATTATACACACCAGAAAGATTCAGAAAAAGGAAGTTGGTAAATAAATTACAGCAAAATATGTGTATTAGAAGGAACAGAACAGTCTCGTAATCAGACATAAGACATTCAGTAGAAAATTAAAAGCTCTCTCAATTTTCTTTCCGTTTTGAGTGAATCATAAACAACCCCTGGTTTGGGCACTGCATTTAATACATAAATTAAAACACTCAGAACAAAGAAATGTACGTTGTATTTTTTTGAAAGTCAGGTTTTAGCATGAGAACGTCCTGAAAGACACAGACTATATATGTTTTTTTAATATCGAGTGAAAAAACAATAGATTTGACTTCAGCTCTCAACTTCTAACTTATTCTAAGTAGTATCAAAGCAACTGAGCTCTTAGACCAGCAAAATTGAACTACTAAAAAGTAACCAGAAGATAAAGCTTTAGAGGTTTCTCTTACATTTTATCTGCCCATCTAGGGTCTCCTCTAACACAGGTGTTGAGCAATGTAAGCAAACCTTGTCTAACCATGTATTTGTGCACCCCCTGCAGCTCATGAGCTGCAGCCCCGGCTGCAGAGACAAGGCAGTGAAAGAGCAAATACCTGAGAGGAGAGAAAGAGGCCTGTTCCAAGCTGAACACAGCAACAGGTTTTCACAGATCTATCTAAACTGTAACCAGGCTGATATAAACCCTTTGAGCTTGATACAAAGCACACCCCTGTTGGGATAAAACTGGCCTAAGCCATTACTCAAGATTTTTGTACTCCATGATGCAGTTTGTCCTGAGTCTGGGACTGTTTACCTGTGCTCATCTCCTCTGCTATGTGGAGATCTTCAGCTTGCACAGACTGATCCAGCATTTCAACGAAACGCTCCTGAACTTCTCCAGCAGCCTCATCATCAAACTTGTAATCACTAAGCATCACACTGGATCCAGCAACTGGGACAAACAGTCTTTGAGGTAAGACATGATATTCCCTCCCAAAACCTAAAAGAGGGAAGAAATACCATCCAAATAAAGGCCTTGCCAGTTAGGATAAGATTCCTCATTAATCTCTGGCCATAAAGATAAAGCTATTGCAAAAGAACTGCTCAAGGTTTCCATGTAAAAATCCTGCTTTCAGGCATGGTTTGTTTAGTTGTTACAGTTTGATGCAAGTTCGGGCTGCGATTGCATTGATTTATGTTCTTACATTAGTCTTTCTAGAAATACTCAAGAGAGCTCCAAAACAGACCATAAAATGTTAAACAGACCTTTTTTCACGTTTAGAACGACTAGCACAAGATCTCTGGGAAAGACTGCAGATGGGAGCATGCACAGAGTAGCAGATTATTTCAACACCACGTATTGCAAATGCACAAAACCACGAAGTTCTAGTGCCACCTGACGAAGAAACTAAAAACTGCACACAACTGACAAGTTGAAGTCATGGTTGGGTTAGTCGGCCAATACCGAAACAAACCACAATACCCTAAAGTAAAGGCTCCTTCTGAACATGAGCCGTTTTTCCTTACACAATCAACCTGCTCCCAGTTCTTTTGTTTTTTCTAAAATCACTACCAAAGATAGCACCTCTTAAAAAGGCTCTCCTTTATATAAGATCTTCAATTTGACACTTCACTAATATTTAACTAATTTATTTTATAAGATAATATTTGGTTAACTAATATTTGGTTTTAAAAAAAACCAACACACACCAAAAAACAAACACAGCAACAAGAACTTGATTAAACTGCAGTTTAAAGAATCAGCCAGCCTGAGCTAGGAGAGCTGGTCTTAGCATTTATCCCCCTATTTTTAGTATCATCATGACAGAAATTTTACATTCATTAGATTAATTTGCATTGTGATGTGGCCAGAGCCCAGTGGTCTGTGAAACACCAGCTAATGCAACCCAGCAATTATTCATGGTGCTGAAAGAAGATCTGCTTCTTTAAAAGGCACAAAGCCTGTACAATAGTATTTGAAGAGAGAGAAGTTAGGGGACAGAGACAACACAAATTATACATATTTACAATTTAAAATGTGCAAGTTATAGTTAAAACTTCAGTGACAGGAGTTTCAACTGCTGAATTTTTGAAAATGTCAACATCTCTGATCACTGAGAAAGAAGCAAAAATTGCTATTTATGGGCATGAGTACTGAACATAAACTCATTGTGAAAGCTGTGATGCCAAAGAACCCATCTGAACTTGACAGAAACTGTCCAGATTTAAGAAAAAGCCACAGCTGCCAAACAGCAATTGTGCCACTTGCTTTTCATTCTGTTGTAACCACCCTGGAGCTTCAGTAAACCAGCAGGATTTTCTACACCCAGCAAAATTCACTGCAAATGTAAGCTGGGTTTTTTTTTGTTTTTTTTGGTTTTTTTTTAATTCCTACTTTTTTTGCGAGGTCCTTCATTTATAATCATATCTTCAAACAGTATTTCACACCGGTCACTCAATGTGTTTATGATGTCTCTTTTCAAAGCCTGAAAGAACAAAGCAAAAAGATCAGTAACATTTGCAAAGTTTTTGACTAGTAAGAAACAGAAGAATTCCCTCCAAGGTCCAGCCCATGTTGAAAGAACAGTTCTTCCCAGAAAATAAAAGCTCTGAAGAGAATTCAAGAAAGTCCAATAAAGCTAACATCAAAAGAACTGAAATTTTAAAAAGCAAGAAAATAAATGTGAAAAGCTGAGGAAAATGCGAGTATTGTTAGAATATGAACTGACAAATTCTAGGTATTACCATTAAAACCAAACAGAATCACAAAGTTCAATAAGCTGGGGGGGGGAAAAAATCACTGAACACAGCTGTATTTTCCCTCCACACATACAAACATTGTCTGTGACTGTCTCTTCAAAGCCTCAAGACTTTGACAATTTGTGCAAAGATTCACCAGAGAGCAGCCCTAGCAAGGCTGCAGACAGAGCTGCCAGTAGTGAAAACAGGACTGAATCCACCACATACACACCCAGATGGTTTCCAAAACAATCCCAACGTGCAAGGGGATGAACACTGACACCAGTTTAGATCACATCATTTTGACAAAGAAAAACCAGTATGACAAATTCACTGTATTTCAGAAAAATGCTTCTGGTGAATTAACCACCTTTTCACTACCTGAATAGCTTCTTTCACTTTGGGCTTGTTGTTATGGATGTAGGCTCTGCATTTCACAGAACCTTTGAGATTAATGGAACCACTGCAGACCTGGACTGTAGCTGTTGATCTTTGACTTGAACCCTGGGACTGAAAAATAAACATGTTTCAGCTTTATCTCGTTACCAAGGCACTTGCAGCACAAGTAACAACAGATCTGGGAAACTAACAGCATACATTAAGATGTTTACATATAACCTCTAATTTTTATTTTTTTTTTCTGTTGTTAGATAAGACTGAAAACCTCTCTCCTTTTCCACTATGGAAAATGTATTTACTTTTCCAGACCTTTCATTTCTTGCAATCTAAGTATTTGTATCTACAAGACTTGTAAAATTTTGCAGGCAAGCGGCTTGTGGCTAATGCTAGCATTGCAATCTAGACATCATCTTAAGACTATTCTTTGGAAACAAGTCTGCATGTTTCCTATATAGCCAGCAACACTTAGTGTCCTGAGAGTCATCCCATCTGTCAGTACCAAATTATAAACGTGCTCACATTTAGATTGTGTCAAACTGTTGCCTAGAAATACTTGCCCTCATTACCACAATGAGTGTGTTGTAGGGGCACTCTAAGACAACACCTGGAACACGTGTAATTTCCACAGGAACTGCTTAAACTACTGCCAAAATAAAAAGCTGTCTTTTCTCTGAGGCAACTAACCATTGACACAAAGCAACAACAAAAGCTGAGATACCCATCAGGTCTTTAAAATGGCATCTTATACATTTCTTAGAGTTTTGCTAAATAGAACAAGTACCTGAGGAAACAGGATGGCCCGTGCTGTGCAAGAAGCCTGCAAAACATGCCTGGATGCAACTGGACTCTAGGACTAGACACCTAGAGCAGGGTTTGACCAGAACAACCTCTGGTAGAGAGGACACTCCTGACACAGACCCTGCAGCTCCAGGAGACCCAGCTCACAGTCCAGCTCACAGGACCTAACACTAGTAAGGAGCTTCTGACAGAAGCACTCAAGCAAGTGCCCACAGCTACCTGGGGCAAGGAGAAGCATGGAGGCCATTCTGGACTTCAGGGCAATGCAAAGTCACCTTGAAACCAAGGTTTGCAGGTACACACAGGAACTGACCATCACATGAACTTGTTTGTGGGTTCATTTCTGTAAGCAGTTTGTCAAACCTTCCTTGCAGCTGCACAGTGCAATTCTTAGACAAGGCAGGAATTCCCTAAGACACCAAAGATGCCAACCTGTCCACAGCTCCACAAGGAATAGCCACAGGGGGAATAAAAAGGCTTAGAGAACGTAACTGGGGTTTCTAGACAGTAATTCAGAATGTTATTTTATTTTTTATTCTATTTTATAGATAACAGAAGTTATACTTAACAAACACCTCAATACTTACCAGCTGTGTCAGAACTTTTACATCAGAGAACTGAGTGCTGGATTGAATATTTCCTCTTAGCTTTTTCTGATGGAGAAAAAAACCAGTCTGCCATGAAACAGGAAAAAAAGTCTCCCTGAACCAAAATCTCTCAATTAAATAATATGTGCCCTAGTTTCTAGCTTTAAGGAGAGAAAAATGGCACAGAGAAAACAGCCATGAGAATAGAATTCCAAAAATAAGAGATGAATTCATCAAAGTCTTTCCATTCTTTGCTAAAGGTTTAGACATAGGTAGGCCTTAAAAATCTCACCACCTACATTCACACCTTGATCATGCTCTGTGATGAGGAGACAGCACAGGAACATTTTTAGTCAGACTTCACATTGCCAAAGGAAGAGGGAACTTGCAGCATCGAAGACATGAACACAAACAGTCCTGCACACTGGTTACTGAAACAGGCCAATTAGATCAACAAACATTGTACAGCCAACATCTCAGTCAGGGCTTTATCACACTAAAGGTCCTAACCACACATCTGCTAGAGTCTGATTCCTTGTTGAGTGGTACTCACCTGCCCTTCCAGCAGCTCTGTATCATCACTTTTAACTTGTCCATTGATCAGAAAAACACTCTCTTCTATTTGTTTCGACCATCGACTTAATCCATTCTTTTAGAAAAGTGAGAACACAAAAAAAGGAGGAAAGAGAATTTCACTAAAGGAGCTGGAAAGTATCCTGCTAACAATTATTGAAGCACACGCTTCAGTAGTTATGCTGAGAGAGTTTTAAAGCTTCTGAAAAAATCTGTCTCTAAGTTTTCCCAAAGCTAAATCTTAAAACCAACATGTTCAGAACATACCCATTAAGAGACAAGATGTGATTTTTGTACAGAGGGATGCAGCCCACTGAAAGTCAATTCCCATTAAAAGCACCCCATGCCCCCTGCTCTGAGTGGATGGAACCCTTCACTAGGTGAGGCAGAAGACACTTTAGTTGGAATAATCATGACAATTGCTCAGTAACTTTGAGCAAAGGGAACTGCCAACACTAGACACTGCAGACAAAAAGCTACCTGCAGTTTTTATGCTACGAATGCCTCACAGTAACCTTAAATTACATTTAGAAGAGGAGTAACTACGAAATATTCTTTGCTGATTAGTCTTACTCCTATACTCCTCACAGTAATTCAATCTTCCTAATTTTCAACAGAAAAAGCAGTGAGGGGACCAAGCAGATGACTGGTGCAGCTGCTCAGTTACCTTGGTATTCTTCTCCAAGTCGTGGTTGGTTGAAGTGGCCAGAAGTGGAATGTGAATATTAACATTGACTGTGCAGCCCAAAGCTGACCAGGAAGCAGACAGAGCACTCTGGTATTTCCAGTCTGCTGGTTTAGCTGAGCTCTGAGAGCAGAAATAAGCAAAAAGCACCTGTACACAGCACGGTAGATCTCAAACAGAGAGCTTATTCTGAAACACTGCCAGCTGTGCCTGACCCACAGGGTGATGAACTTACCTTTGGATCTTGCACGTCATAGGTTCGGCAAACTACTCTTTGCTACTTTAAGAAAAAGATCAGGTGAAAAGCAAAAAAAAAAAACAAACCCAGTAAGAACAATTCATAATTAACTTTGTACTTTACTTAACTTCTTTGTTGAACTTATCTATGCTCTGAAGAAAGCTGTCACCTTCCATTAGTGTAAAGAAGTGGACAAACATTTGACTGTAAACTCCAGCTAACATAGTGCTGCTGTCTCATCTCGTGCAAGTACGTGAGGATCACCAGGTACTGACAGGGAGAACCACCAAGGTACCAAGTTGCAATGTGTCCTCCTCTCACTCACTCCTCTGAGGAAAGCCCTGCTTTCTCTCCTATTACCTCATTTTCAACAGACCCAGCACTCTTCTGCAGCATCAGGACAGATCCCACATGCCTGCTACCTCCCTGCTTCCCTACCAGGAGTGTCTGGAACAGAAGCTGTGCAGGATTCTGGATGTTTTCATCACCTCACACAAACCAGAAATGCCTGGAGAAGACAGAGTTTGATGCCACCACACACACACAAGCCTCACAGGAAGACAGAAGGGAAACTCTGCAAGGATAAGAGGGTCAATGGTCTTATCCATGGCTAATCAGATAACTCTTAAGGTTTCAACTTACTGCTCTGTGTCTATCTGAACTCAAAAAACTTTCCCCTCCCAATTAATTATTTAGTCAGAAAAAATGAGATAAACAAAGTTGGTGGTAGCAGTCTCAATGGATAAACCTTGCTTGTAAAGGATACTTCTTTGTAGCAGCACAAATCTGAAGAGCTGCTCTGTCTGAGACCTCCTCCTCAGCAGGCTTCCAGAGCCGCCTTTTACTCAAGGACTTCTCCACTGAGAAGATTAGCTACAGACGAAGAAAGCATTATGGATTTTTCATCAAAAATAATGCCTTGTAATTCCTGGAAATTACTATTACTACTGCACTGCAGTTGTAAGTCAGTGATAACATAATTAAGAACACTCCTATCTTCCCAGCAGGAAGTCTACTCACCCTGCGCAAAGTGTTCTGACTGTCCTTTAGCAGCTCTGGAGTTGCAATGATAAACACCCCGAGCACCAGCAGGCCCCCAGGAAGCATTCTAGAAACCTTCAAAAGGGAAATGACCACGTGTCAGTAGGAATGAAATGTGGCAACATGGCACCTGACTTATTTTCTTGCTTCAGTCCTATCAAGTCTCCATTTCATCATAAACTTGGAAAATAATACAGATATTTTGGTGTAAAATATCTGCACCTAGCCTCACTAGGAAGGTTCCTTCACTTTGTGAAAAAGGCTTGAGATTACACAAGTGTTGAAGCAGTTTTTCTAAGCCTTATTTCCTCCCTGCTCCTCCCAGCCCCCCACGAAGAGGTCCTGCTGTGCTACCTGGCTGGCATGGGTGGTTATCCACTCCTCATCCAGGGATGCCAGTGTTGGAGGAGCACTGCTGCCTTCCCTCTGCTCCTCCCTGGGAGGTGTGCGGACGGCCCGGATCACGTAGTCTCTTTGGGGGGAGCACTTCCAAGACCACCAAGATAAACAAACAGAGCATGAGCCTGGTACTGAGCCTGAGTGACACAGCAAGGTCTGCTTTGCAGCAGGGAGCACTGAATCCTACAGCAAGCTGGTACAAGAACTCCATCATGAACTTGCCCTGGCTTTAAAGCCTTGCTCAGGGATAAGTTTTAACCTCATGACTTCTGATTCTTTCCTGGGGGTTGTATCTTTCACACAATGATTTTACAAGACTCGAGTTGCTGGTTGATATTGCAAACCCGGTACAAAAATCCCTTCTGGTCATACCACCACCCTCCTGCACCACACAAGCTCAATGTTTAAGGGACTTACCCCAGGTGATTAAGGCAAATCTTCCCCCTTCATCCATGAATGAATGAAACATACTAGAAATATTTCACACTTACCTGCCCTACTAACAGGCCAGTGACATAAGGTTTTGATTTTGGGCTGAGGTCTGAAAGATACTGCCCAATGGCTTCCTCCACAAAGTAAGTCCTACCCATTGTAGCAGCTTTAAGGTTATACTTTCAACCTACAAAGCAAATAATGTATCCAGTCAAAGAATGTATACAAACTACACCAGTTACATGAAAATAAGACCTCACGCAAACATTTTCACAGAATCATAGGGGTTGGAAAGGACCTGGAAAGCTCACCCAGTCCAACCCCCCTGCCAGAGCAGGGGCACCCAGAGCACATCACACAGGAACATGTCCAGGTAGGTTTGAAAGTCTCCAGAGAAGGAGACTCCACAGCCTCTCTGGGCAGCCTGGCCCAGGGCTCTGGCACTCTCACAGCAAACAAGTTCTTCCTGAGATTCATATGGAACCTCCTGGGCTCCAGTTTGCACCCACTGCCCCTTGTCCTGTCACTGGACATCCCTGCACAAAGCCTGGCTCTGTCCTCCTGACACTCACTCTAAACATATTTGTAAACATTGATGAGGTGGCCCCTCAGTCTCCTCCAAGCTAAAGAGACCCAGCTCCCTCAGCCTTTCCTCATATTCATTTTTAACTGATCAATACTTTACCTGTCAACCAAGTATAGTCAGACAGTTTTACAACCTGCAAGTTTATTTTTTAATGAAAAACACAACTCTCGATGCTAGAGGCAGCAGTATGCAATGCTGACTTGAGAAAAAACAAACTATTTTAAACACTTGCCACTGAAATCAGGTGGCAAGTCACGCAGATGCCTCCAAGCAACCATTCCTGGCTGCATCACGTTTCACCCAAGGCCAGAACGTCCGAGCGCACATTCCCATTTCTCTTCCAAGGACCTGCCAAATTCTACACGTGTGCTTAAACACGCCGTGCACAGCTTCCATTCCAGCTCCCACGGCATTCCAAGCCCAGCACCCATGGCTCTCCCAGGGCCACCGGCACAGCAGGAAGAGCCCGGGGGGGAAGGCAGAGCGGCCCGGGGGGAAGGCAGAGCGGCCCGGGGGGGAAGGCAGAGCGGCCCGGGGGGGAAGGCAG